TCATATCTATGAGCCTTTGGGCAGAGACTGTGGGGTTTTCTTTTCTTTCTTTTTTTTCTTTTCTTCTTTTCTTTTCTTTTTTTCCAGGAGCTAATCGTTGGATGACTGTGGGGTTTTCTAGGTATAGAATCATATCGTCTACAATATATGAAGGATAGTTTGACTTCCTCTCTTCCTATTTGGATACCTTTTATTATTCTTTTGCCTGATTACCCCGGCTAGAACTTCCAGTACTGTGTCAAATAGGAGTGGTGAGAGTGAGCATCCTTGTCTTGTTCTGGTTCTCAAGAGAAATGCTTTCAGCTTTTGCCTCTTCAGTGTGATGTTCACTGTGGATTTGTCATAGATGGCTATCATTTTGAGGTATGTGCCTTTTTGATGCCTAGTTCATTGAGGATTTTTAACATGAAGGGAGGTTGAATTTAATCAAAAACCTTTTCTGCATCTATTGAGATGAACATGTGGTTTTGTTTTTAGTTTTGTTTATTTGATGAATCACATTTATTGATTGATTTATATATCTTGACCCAACCTTTCATCCCAGGAATAAAGATTTCTTGATCATGTTGAATTGAATTTGCTAATATTTTGTTGAGGATTTTTGCATGTATGTTTATCAGGGATATTGGCCTGAAGATTTTTTTTCCTGCCAAGTTTTGGTATCAGAATGATGCTAGTCTCATAGAATGAGTTAGGGAGGAGTCCCTCCTTCTCTATTTTTTAAAATAGTTTCAGTAGGATTGGTACCAGCTCTTTATATGTCTGGTAAAAATCAGCTGTAAATCCATCTGGCCCAGAGTTCTTTCTGGTTGGTAAATTTTTTTATTACTAATTCAATTTTGAAACTTGTTATTGATCTTGTTGTGGAGATTGTATGTTTCAGGAATTCATCCATTTCTTTTAGGTTTCCCAGTTTGTGTCAGCACCATGTATTGAAGAGACTGCCCTTTCTCTGATGTATGTCCTTGGCACCTCTGTGGAAAATGAATTTACTGTAGGACTTATTTCCTCTGGGTTTTCTATTCTGTTCCATTGGTCTACATGTCTGTTTTTATGCCAGTACCATGCTGTTTTGGTTACAATAGCTCCTTAGTATAATTTGAAGTCAGGTAATATGATTCCTTCTGTTTTTTTCTTTTTGCTCAGGATAGCTTTGGCTATTCTGGTCTTTTGTGGTTCCATATAAATATTAGGATTTTTTTCTATTTCTGTGAAGAATGCCATTGGTATTTTGATTGGGCTTGCATTGATTCTGTAGATTGCTTTGGATAGTATGGACAAAATTTTAATAATATTGACTCTTCCAATCCATGAACACAGATTATCTTTTCATTTTTTAATGTACTCTTCAATTTCTTACATCAATTTTTTTTTGTTTTTAAAGATGGGGTTTTACCATGTTGGCCAGCATGGTCTTGATCTTCTGACCTTGTGATCCGCCCGCCTCGGCCTCCCAAAGTGCTGGGGTTACAGGCATGAGCCACCGTGCCCAGCACATCAATGTTTTATAGTTTTCATAAGTTTATTCCTAGATATTTTATTTTGTTTGTAGTTATTGTAAATGGGATTACTTTTTTGATTTTTTTTTCAGATTGTTCACTGTTGGCCCATAGAAATGCTATATTGATTTTCGTATGTTGATTTTGTATCCTGCGACTTTATTGAATTTGTCAATTTGAATAGTTTTCTGGTAGATCCTTTAGTTTTTTCCAAATATAAGATCATATCATCTGCAAACAAGGACAATTTGACCTCCTCCTTTCCAATTTGGATGCCTTTTACTTCTTTCTCTTACCTGATTGCTGTAGCTAGAACTTCTAGCATTACGTTGAATAGCAGTAATGTAAGTGGCCATCCTTGTCGTGTTCCAGTCTTAGATCTGTGTTTTCTTTACTTCTCCCTTACTGGTGCTTCAGAACACTTCACATTTCTGTACTGGAATTCTTCAAGCATGTCTTTGTGTCCCTTCTAGATTGTAAAACTATTTGAAGGAAGGCTTTTTATCTTACTGGTAGACTGTTTGGGGAGACGTTGTTCCCTGTATCACACAGTATTTTCCTTATAAAGATTTATGGGAGCAATTTCTCACAGGTCAAGCCTTGCTTTTATTTTAGGGACACAGTTTAATGTATGTCAGATTATATTCCCCCACTTTGCATTGGCTGCTAGGAAGCTCAGGGCCACAGTTATGTCACAGTTCTAAGCAGTGCCTTCTCAAAATCTCCATTTATATACCTAATAGTCTTTGCACTAGTCCCCTATTGTTGCTGTACCAAATTACCACAAACTTAGTGGCTTAAAATAACGCAAATTTATTATCTTACAGTTTGGGGAAATTGGAAGCCCAAAATTAGTTTCACTGGGCGAAAACCAAGGTGTCGGCAGCACTGTGTTCCTCCTGGAAGCTCTAGAGCATAATCGATTTCCTCATCTTTTCCAGCTTGTAGAGGCTTTTTACATTCCTTGTGTTGTGACCCCTTCCTCCATCTTCAAAGCCAGGAGCGTAACATCTTCTCTCCCCTCCGACTTCCGCATCTGTCCTCGCATCTTCATCCTCTGACTCTGATCCTCCTGCCTCCCTCTTATTCTTGTGACTGCCCTGGGCTCACCGGATAGCCTCCCCATCTCAGGATAATCTCCCCATCTCAAGATCTTTAACTTCATCACATCTGAAAAGTCTCTGTTCCCATGTGCGGTAATACACTCACGGGTTCTGGGGATTAGGAAATAGGCCTCTTTTGCAGGGGGTCCTTATTAGCCTATCACATTCTTTTCAGTGTTAGCTGTATAAAATTGAAATTTTTGAGTCTCCTAATGAAATTGTACCTCTGCCTACCCTTCTACCTGCCTCACCGTTCGTATCTCAGTAAATGGCCCTGCCGTCTACTAATTGTTCCCATCAGACACATGGTTCTCTGCTCTCCCTCACCCCCACATCCAGTCCCTCATGTTGTTCTGTCCTATGGACTTCTAAGGTGTATCTAGAATCTATCCACTTCTTTTTGTAGCCACTGCCACTACCCTAGGCTAAGCCATCACCAGCTCTTGCCTGAACTGCTATCATAGCCTCTAATTTCTCACTTCAACTCTTGTCCTTTTCTAGTCTATTCTCTATAAATCAATTAGATTTTTTGCAAACACAAAGCAAATCATGCTCTTTTCCTACTTAATACTCTCTAATAGTTTCCTGTCTCATGTTGAAGAAAATCCAAATTCTTCATCATGACTTCTAAGACCCCTTGGTCTGGCCTGGCCCTCTCTCAGAGGACCTCTCATTCTGCTCTCTTTATCACCACATGCTGGTCACACTGGCCTCCCTGGAGATTTCTGTCTGGCCTAAGCCATGCTTCTCACATGCAGTTCTTCTGCTTGGCACTCTGCTGCTCTTCCTTGACTACCTCCTTGCTGAGCTTTTGTTTTCATCTGAAATGTCTCCTCAAGGAAGCTGTTCTACACAACTCCACCTAACTGGAGTTCCCTACCCTCCTGCACACAAATTTTTCTCAACCACTTCCCCCTTTTACGTAGTCTTGATAGCCTTATCACTATGGATAATTACTTAGTTGTTGTTTACCGTATATCATTTATTTTCTCTCTCAGATTGTTAATTCTGTAATGGTGCAGGCCATTTCTGTTTGTTCCCTGCTGTATGTGATGCTCCTATGTGACACTAGGAGGCCCTGAATACATTTTCTGTGTCATCCTTACCCTGACTTTATCTTACCTTTTTGCTTTTATTTTCCTTTTTATTTTTCTTATTTTCTTAATATTGAAATGAGAGAAAAACTTACAACCCCCAGGCTCTACTCAAGGTTGGGGTCTGGGGGAGGTAGAGCTTCCTCTACTCCTGTCCCTTCCACCACCCCATGCACTCACTCACCATTGGTACTGTGTGTGGTGGGCAAAAGAAAAGCTTTCTACTAGTGTTCCTTCCCAGGGAATGTGGGGCTTATCTTGGAATGCCAAAATAAAGATGAGCTGTCTAAAGAGAAAACCAGAATGCCTTTCGGGACCAAAGACTGAAATTGCTCTGCATAATAAAGTAAAAAGTTTATTTTCACTGACTGGGGGCAGAGCGTTCCTTAAAATACTAGCTGCCTTTTTTTTTTTTTTTTCTCCCTGTGGCAAAGGCTAGCGATGAGAAAAATTGGGGTTCTAGACTCTAGGGAGGAAGGATAATGTTCAAAGCTCTATTTGTCAGAGGTGAGCGGGGCCGTTGAGATGAGTGGGATATGAGCAAATGTGGGACTCAGGAGAGAGACCAGTAGGGGACACCCTGGGAGAAAGAGGTCCTGAGCTCTTTTCTTTTCTCTGGAGCGCTGACCCTTGAGCAGTGGCACACAGGGCATCTTCCTTTATTCTCTGGTGCAGTAGTCATGGTTCTTGGCACAATGCCTTGGACCTTCCATATACACTGTTCTTTTCTCCAGAGCCTCATCGTCTAAGATGCTGGAGAGTAGCTGATAGCCTGGGTTGGCATCAAGTTTGTCGATTCTCCCCAGGACCCTTTTCTTTATAGATGGTACGTGCCATGATTTATGCACAAACATGATTTGCCTGACAGTGCAGTCTGGGCCTGGAATAATTTTAATTAATGGGAAAATGGTTCTCAATACACCGATTAGACCTCTTCAGGTACAACAAGATAAAAGCCTGATAATTTGGATGGAGTACTCTTCTTAAATGTCTACTCTGCACGGCAGCCAATGGGAAAGCCAGGCTCTCTCCCACCTGATCCAATGAGTAATTAAGAGAGGGCTTTTTCTTCCCTACCTCTCCCCTCCCTCCACCCCACTCCCCAACTAAAGCTTAACAGGTTGGTGATATAATGTGGAGACTTTAAGGGGTGTCATCCTAGCAGCTCAGGCAAGAGCCAGGGTGTCTTCTTTCCGCTCCCCAAGCACTGTTCAGGTGGGTTTGAAAAGCAGGAAGTGAGGGAAGGAAGAAGCTAGAAGCCGGCAAGGTAGGTAACGGCTCTCTGCAAAGTTTGAGGAGGGCCCATGGCCATGAGTGAGGTGGGAACTCGGAAGCCCAGCGATGGCACAGTTTCTCACCTGCTCAATGTGGTGGAGAACGAGCTTCAGGCAGGGAGGGAAAAAGGCGACCCTACGGAGAAGCAACTTCAGATCATCCTGGAGGATGCACCTCTCTGGCAGAGATTCAAGGAAGTTACTAATGAGATGATTGTGACCAAGAATGGCAGGTGAGTTTATCTGCCACCTTGCATGGGCTGGCAGGGCTTGGCAGGAGAGATGAGACCCCTTGAATGCTGAAGAGGCTGCCGCTCTTCACTCAGAGGTGACGGGATCTGATTAAATGTGTTTACAGGAACGACTGTCTCCAATGGCTTTCCTCCAGTCAACTTAATTTAATTTCTCTGGGATCATCAGAGGATGAAGCCACCTGTCTTATGTGCATTTTAAATGGAGAAATTCTGGGAAATTACCATAAAGTGGGGGGGGGCATGCCCCATTGGGAAGTGAGAATGGACTCAAATGTCAGAACATAATATTAATTTGTGACTGGCTGTATACCCTGTTGCAGACCTGAGCCCCAACTCCTTCCAGATAAGGTGAAAGTAACTTTATTAGGAAGCTGGATGATCTCCTCTTAAGTGTAGCAAACTTGTCAGAAATGTTTGACTACTTGAAGATTGGAAGCAAAGGGGCAAATTTAAACTTATTGCTTGTCACTCCTGCTTCTTCCCGTATGGGTTTGTGGTGAGTGTTCGTTTGAGATTGTGTGTGTCTGTGATGATGTGAAAGCCGTTGCAGTAATAGTGAATGAAAACAGATTTTACCGCCTTAGAGTACAGAAGATGCCTTCTTTTTTCTCAGTGCAACAAATTTAGGGATTAACTGAAACTGATCTCTGCTGGCATTTCTCAGATTCTGTTAAACCTAGTGTGCTAAGGGGCTGTCAAGGTAATATTAGAAGATTTCACTTAATAGAGGGAATGCAAATATTTTGAAACAAAATCTCACTGCTTGCAGCTTGGCCAAACTAGCTCCAACCATCAGTTGATCTTCACATATCTTTTCATACACATGGTCACAAAAGCACAAAACGCCGAAAGGCGTTTTCATCGGGGTTAGTTTTGGCTGAACTCTGATGATGACACCCTTGAGAGAATTCTGCTGATCGAGAAGAGCCGAGGCCAGCCGAACTTCTTTCTCTCGGGCTTTTGTCCTTGCGCAAAATGCTTCCATTTCTGATTTCTCGGTTTTCTATATTTTAATTATGCACAGTATAGAAAATGAACTATTTCTTGCCAATCTTGGAGAGTTATGAACTCAAGAGCTGTTTTATGGCATTAAAGTGTTTCTACAATAAAAGCCATACGTGAATTAAGGGCATTTCAAGAAACTGCAATGATGCCAGTAGCAGGAATCTCAACCTTGCTTGATTTTTCTGTTTTCTTTCTCTAAATGGGTTCCGTACCTATTTCATATAGATTTATTGCTTTTAGTATTTGTTACTGTAATTGTAGTTGTTCTTTCTCTTGACCTGTATTTACACATTATTTTTAGCTTCTTTCTTAGAAAACATAAAACATATTTTTAATTTCACAGAATCATCCCAAATTTTTAAACGGATTTAATCTCTTACCCTTTAAGGATGGGTTAAGATGCAGCTGTAAAAATTTTATTATATCTGAGAATAGGTAGAACATTCTGTTCATTATTCTTTGTACTACTGAATACTGGTTACACTAATACCTAGCTTTATGCTATTGATTTGGCTGTCAAATTGGCCATATATTAAAGTAAAAATCAGCACAATCACCAAGTAAATATATGGTTCATCTATTTCACTAAGGAATAAATAATAAAAGTTTCTGAAACCATTATAAAATCCAATTTAATAATAAGTTACACTGGAATGTACTTTTACCATTTAAGAAGAGTTGTATCTTGCCTTTTTTGACCTATATAATTTTCCTCTATATTTAAAATATAATGTTCTTCACATCAACCCAGCGTGGTGGTGTGCTTCTGTGGTCCCAGATTCTCAGGAGGCTTAGGCAAGAGGATCACTGAGCCCAGAGCAGTCTGGGCAGCATGGTGAGACCCTGTCTTTAAAAAACAAAACAAAATCCTTCATCTTTAAAGTCATTTAATATTAGCTACATGAGCAATATTCTTTGTAGAAAAAGTCTTACTGCTGTTAACTTGGTTGTTCTTATCTATGGCTATCCTGCTGTGCTTCCCCCTCCTTCTGTAAATTCAATCTTTTTCTTAAATTTTCCTAAGATCTCTGATCCCTTTAGGGTCAAGATTTTGCCAGGAGATAGAAAGTTCCCTTTATATTTGATTAAAGAAGGAAAGATAAGTCCATAAGAAATTGATATACTTGGGGCTGGGCGCAATGACTCACGCCTATAATCCCAGCACTTTGGGAGGCCGAGGTGGATGGATCTCCTGAGGTTGGGAGTTCGAGACAAGCCTGACCAACATGGAGAAACCCGGTCTCTACTAAAAATACAAAAATTAGCCGGGCATGGTGGCACATGCCTGTAATCCCAGCTACTCTGGAAGCTGAGGCAGGAGAATTGCTTGAACCCAGGAGGGGGAGGTTGCAGTGAGATGAGATTGCACCATTGCACTCTAGTCTGGACAACAAGAGCAAAACTCTGTCTCAAAAAGAAAAGAAAAGAAAAGAAATTGATATTCTTATGATGAATGAACTTGGTCTGAAATTACTCCCAACCTCTTAGTTTCTCAGATTAAACTGTTAGTCACGTGTTACCTTTGTTAATATAGACATCTCTCTTGCTTTATCTTCTTTACTCCCTTCTTTCTTTTCTCTTTCCCCCAATCATTTAGTCCTCTCTGCCTCCTTTCTACCCATTCTCCTATGCCTACAGCACCTCTGTATCTCCTTCAAATCCTTGCCCTCCACACCAACTCCCGAGCCTGTTGCAGTCAGATTTGCGGCTCTTCTCTGTGGAGAAGAGTGTTCCTGGTGCAAACACCCAGTCCTAGCTTTTTCATTCGCTTTGTCATCTGGGCCCCTTTTCATTGACATCATCACCTTGACCTTTTAAGAAAGCATCATTTGGGGTGGTAACTCCTGTACACTTGAGGTCTCATTGTTCTGCATAATAGCAAATCTTGAAATAGCGTAAGATGGGCTAATGAAAGATTCATTATATATGAATGTAGATTTCCACTTGACAATGAAAATATTCATTGGCAATGAATATTTTCATTGTCAAGTGGAGATCTACTTTCATATAAATATATAAATAGGAAGCTTGCCTCTGACATTGATCAGAAGCGGTAAAGAGAAAGGCTTTTCCCTGAAAAACACGGAATTATCCCCAGAAACTGGGATCCCGATGTTGGCCTCTCTTCTTTCTTTCCTTCCTCTCTCTCTCCCTTCCTTCTTTTGCTTTCTCCCCTCCCCTATTCTATCTAATAGTCCTTCAGATATAACAGTAATCATAAGTAATGTGTTATACTTATTATTTGAGTCATTCTAGTGTATCCAACCAGTATTCCTTTTCACATCAATCCTTTAAGCTGGAAACTTTAATTTGCAGAAAGAATTCATTTCAGACTTCAGAGGTAAATAAATTAAATCGCTTGCTAGCATGGCAGCTCATGTCTATAATCCCAGCACTATGGGACGCTGAAGTGGGAGGACTGCTTGAGCCCAGGAGTTTGAGACCAGATTGGACAGTATAGGAAGATCTCTTTTCTACAAAATATTTAAACAATTAGCCAGGAGACCCAGGTAGGTGGATCACTTGAGCTCAGAAGTTTTAGAACAGCCTGGGCAACATACAGAAATGTTGTCTCTCCAAAAATGACAAAAACTTAGCTGGGTGTGGTGACGCTGCTTGGGAGGCTGAGGCGGGAGATAACCTGACCCTGGGGAGGTCAAGGCTGCAGTGATCACACCACCGCACTCGGGCCTGGGCAACAGAGTGAGTCTGCGTCTCAAAAAATAAAAATAAATAAAAATCAAATCTCTTGCTTTTGTTTTCTTTACTTGTAACATTTTAATCTAAGGGGAAAATGCTGTATTTCTTATAAAATAAGAGGTGGGAATTACTAAGTTTAAATGTGCTGATCATTAAGGGGTATTGGTTCAGTGCCCCTGAGTTGATGTTCATAGTCTCCAGTGAGGGCAGTACAAGAGAGGAGAAACTAAGGTTGCACATCAGGCCAATACATTTCCATGTCACTGTAGCCCAGTGATACTTGCCTCTGAACTTTAAAATTACAACTCAAGAAGATCATTGTGTAATCTGCCTCTAACCAGGCCACCGTGCTTTCCTAATGCCGTTTTTTTTTCCCTTTGTTTATGTATCTTTAATTGACACCTGTAGCTATTCTTATGCCTGCTCACCTTCACATAAATGTCAGCATCCATGCACCATGTGTGACACACAAACACACACACACACACACCCCTCTGAAAGTTCTGATGGGTATATGATAAATAGCAGAGTTTGTGGAGAGATGGAGGAAAGTGTTTATAAGTGAAACTTTTTGAATTTGCTTTTAACCATCTCTGCTGTTCCCCCACCTGTAAAATCTGCCTCATCTCTGCCCACTTTCTTCCTGCAAACCTCACTTCTCGTAGCCTCCTCCAGCAGCACTGGCTCTGGAGATTCCCTGTCAGTGAAACAAAAGTGGAAACCTGGTCTCATAAAAAAAACCAGACAGTTTACGGGCAAAGCCCAACCACCTGTGATTCTTCAAGTGCATTTTTTTTGAGGAATGCTTATTTATCCTGCCACATTTTCCTGTCTTTCTCTCCAAGGAGGCTTTCTTTCCAGGGTGGATTAACTGAGGTTATGCTGTCACTTAGGGACAGATTTACATATTTCTTATCTTCTCAATGACTCTGGATTTCTCTATGTTAGCTTCATTCTAGGGAAAAAAAAATGGGGAAAAATCACCTTGATTAGAAGTGCAGTTCATCTCTAAAATAAAGCCTGATCATGAGTGGTGATCACAGATCAATACTTACTGGATCCCTAGATAATGCATCCCTCTCACTGTGAGGCAAAAGAGGGAAAGTGGGGTGGGAGGAGGGGAACTTGGCTTGGAGGCAGGGTGAGTTCTAGTCCCAGTTACAAGACCTTAGGCAAGTTAACTGACTTTTATTTATTCCTCATTGCCATAATAGGGATTAAAAAATTCATGTCATTTCTCAGTTTATGTAGTGATAAAAACAAAAGTAATTATAAAGTTCTTGGCAAATGGAATACTACAGAAAATAAAGCAATTAATCATTCTCCCATTTCCCAGATATGTCCTCCTTCTAAGAGATGAGAAACTGTGACTTTTGTGTTTATTAACAGCTTTATGAGGATACAATTCACATACCATATAGCTCATTCATTTGAAGTGTATAGTTCAGTGGTTCTTAGTAATTCACAGAGTTGTGCTTCCATCTCCACAATTAATTTTAGAACATTTTTATCACTTCAAAAGGAAACCCTGCACCCTTAGCCATCACCTCCTCAGCCCCCAGCATCCACTAATCTACTTTCTGTCTCTATAGAGTTACCTATTTCATATCATGGACATTTGATATCCAGGGAATCATACAATATGTGGTCCTTTGTGAACGATTTCTTTTACTTAGCATAATGTCGTCAAGGTTCACCAATGGCCTGTATCAGCACTTCTTGTTTTTTATTGGCAAATTCTCCATTGTATGGATATAACACATTTTATCTATCCTTCATCAGTTCATGGACATTTGGGTTTTTTTACATTTTGGCTATTATGCATAACGCTGCTATGTACATCTGTGTACAAATGTTTGCATGCAACTATGTTTTCATTTTTCTTGAGTATATACCTACCAGCGGAATTGCTGGATTATTGATAAACTGTACATTTAACAAGATGAAGAACTGTCAGACTATTTTCCAAACTGACTGCATCATTTTATATTCCCCCCAGCAATGTATGAGGATCCCAGTTTCTCTGCATCTTTGCCATTGCTTTTCATTACCTACTTTTCGTATTGCAGCCATCCTAGTGGGCATGAAGTGGCATCTCACTGTAGTTTTGGTTTTGCATTTCTCTGATGGCTGATGATGTTAAGCATCTTTTCATTGATCATGGCTTATTTGAAACATCAGGTACAGCTCTGACCGTAGCATGAAAGATGGAAAGCCATTACACATTTTCTGATTCTGGAATGAAAAGTCACGCTACATTCTTTACGAGGCCTCGCATGATATAGCTGAAAGAGCAAGAGGAGGGCACTCTAACCTATTAGCTGTGAGGATAAGAATTGGAATTTTCCCTCCACTTTGCCTCAGACACTTTGATCTTCTCTTTTAGTTTCTGAATAGAGCAGGGCTATTTGAACCTCAGGGCCATTGTAGTTCCTGTTTCTTTTGCCTCTAAGTGCACCTCTTCTAACATTAGCATGACTCATTTCTTCTCATTATTTAGGTCTTAGCTCAAATGTCACTTCCAGTTCATATCTGGCTAAAGTAGCTACTCACCCTTTAGTCTCCTTCTGTGACATCATGCATTTTAGTTCCTTCATGGCACTCTTGCAATTTAAAAAGATTTTTTTTTTTTAAATAGAGATGGGGTCTTGCTAAATTGACCAGACTAGTCTTGAACTCCAGGCCTCAAGTGATCCTTCCAATCTTAAGATTTATGGACATTTTTGTTGGCTGACTTCTTTGTTACAATGTAAACTTTGTGAGCAAGAAGATACTGGGTCTGCAATTTTTGTCATTGAATCCCCACCTAGAACAGTTCCTGGTATAGAGCAGACACTAAAAATCCATTGGTCAAATGGGCAAATAAATATCTGATTAGGTATTAAGATTTGGGAAAACATTGAGGGGGACTTCTCCTTTCACTGTGGCTCAACCATATTAGCTTTTGAACAGCTAATAAGAAAGGAAAAGAAAGTAAAAAATAAAAAAAGGAGTGGTGAATGTAATTTAATGTAATGTAATGTAGTGTAGTGTAGTGTAATGTAATGTAATGTAATGTAGTGTAGTGTAGTGTAATGTAATGTCATGTCATGTAATGTAGTGTAGTGTAGTGTAGTGTAGTGTAGTGTAGTGTAGTGTAATGTAATGTAATGTAATGTAATGTAGTGTAATGTAATGTAGTGTAATGTAATGTAATGTAATGTAATGTAATGTAATGTGTGTTTTCTGAGTCCCAGTTTCCTCCTCTATAAAATTGGCATAATAATCTCCTTGCAGGTGAAGTAAGACTGAAGTGAAATATAATGTAGGCAAAGTCCTAGGTGCAGAGTAAAACTCACTACAACCATCCCTCGGTATCCGCAGAGGATGGGTTCCAGGCCCTTGCAAATATCAAAATCTGAGGATGCTGAAGTTTCTTGTATAAAATGGACTAGACTATTTTGCATATAACCTGTGCACATCCTCCCATATACTTACATTATTTCTGGATTATTTATAATACCTAATACAATGTTAATGCTATGTAAATAGTTATGCTGTATTGTTTTTATTTGCATTTTTTGTATTGTTGTTTTATTTATTTTCAAATTTTTCAATTTGCATTTGGTTGAATCTACAGATGCAGACCCTGGGAATGTGGAGGCCTGACTGCACGTGATAATTGTTATCATTAGAAAAACAATCTTGTGGTCAGGCTCTGTGGCTTACATTTGTAATCCCAGCACTTTGGGAGGCTGAGGTAGGAGTTGAGCCCAGGAATTTGAAAGCAGCCTGGGCAACACAGTGAGACCCTTTTTTAATAAAAATAAAACAAACACAACTATCTTGCATTAAGTCATTTCTTAAATCATAAGTCAGAACTTTATGAAACATTCTGACATTTCATATCATGAAGACACCAGCCATGCTCTCATGCTTGAACAATTGCATCATTATTCTGGCAGTTTAGTGCATGAGAAATATATTATATGCTTTATGAGCTTTTTTTCCTTACTTTTATGTGTACTATGTAGTGTTATTGAGAAAACTTTTGGTATTTTTTATTTTATTTTTTGAGACACAGTCTTACTCTGTCACCCAGGCTGGAGTGTAGTGGTGTGATCACAGCTCACTGCAGCCTCAGCCTCCACACTAAAGTGATCCTCCTGCTTCAGCCTCCCCAATAGCTGGAACTACAGGTGTACATCACCACACCCGGCTAAATTTTGTATTTTTATAGAGATGGGATTTTGCCATGCTACTTAGGCTGGTCTTAAGCTCCTTTGGTACTTTTTAACTTTAGTACACAAAATGACAACTATACACATGCCACTCTTATGTTTTCCTTCAAATAAAAAGTAAACTTTAGTATTTCAGGGGTAGCACTGGACCGGAACACAGAGACCATGTCTCAGTATACCTCATATGAACAGGTTTGACTGCTGGCTGGCAGAATAACCCTATATGATCCCCAGGATCATTTCTGATGCCCACTTTTATGATTCTTTGCAAATGGCTCTTGTGTTGTCAGGATCCTTCTGTTTTCTATACTTGGCCAATATTATTAAGATAATTGAAAACAATAAAATATATCATAAAAGGGAATCGTTTAATCTGATATTAGAAAATAAAAGACAATAATCCTTCTATTGAAGAAAGAACAAAAGAAAGCGCAGCATGAAGATTTTACATCACACAGGCAGCCTCCCTAGAGGAGGCGTATCATTGTAGTTCATGTGAAAGGGCAATCATCTCACTGAGGGAGGGCGAGTGCTGCGGTGGGTAATTTCTCAGCAGAGACCTGGATCTGGAATGCATCATCTGATGCATTTTTCTCCCTAGAAATTTTATTTAATTTATATACTTGTCCTAGCCTCCTATTTAAATTATGAATTTAATAAATATGATTATCATTTAGCTGAGCATTTTATGGGAATTTGTGTCCAAGGAACACACTTTGAGATATGCACATCTAGATGCATCGATCCTTGTTCTACACGCTAGAATAATACCAGCAAGTTTATTCTTGCCAATGTTACATTAACATTACATTTGTCTATATGCTGGCAGTAGACAAATACCTTCATAAAAAGCTGCCAACCTGTGTTGCCCAGGCTGGCATGTTTTGCTATAAATGCTATTACTGTTATTCAGGAAAAGTGTTCTTTGTGAGGTTGGGAGGGGCTGGTCATGGCATCAGGATGCCAGTGGGAAATCTTTGAGGAAAGCTTTCTGTGGGCATGTGGCATTTGATATACCCTGGGCGTCACGTTCCTGTTCTGTCCAATGACTCCATCAGTGGTTTTCAGGCTTTAAAATAGAGCATGTCTTAAACGCTAGTATTAAATTCATTTAGGAGAAGAAGCTCCAGTAGAATTGAGGTTGTGGACTGGGGACTTACAGGACATTCTGTGGAAGTTCTCCGTACTGAGAGGCCCCTGGACAAGGTGAGCCCCTCTGACGTCCCTCCTGTGGCTAAGTGTCTGCCTTTTCTTTTAGACGGATGTTTCCAGTCCTAAAGATTAGTGTCACAGGACTGGACCCCAACGCCATGTACTCCCTCCTGCTGGACTTTGTCCCTACGGACAGTCACCGCTGGAAGTACGTCAACGGGGAATGGGTGCCTGCGGGCAAGCCAGAGGTGTCCAGCCACAGCTGCGTCTACATTCACCCGGACTCCCCCAACTTTGGTGCCCACTGGATGAAAGCTCCCATCTCCTTCAGCAAAGTGAAGCTGACCAACAAGCTCAATGGAGGCGGGCAGGTATGAGGTGGGCAGGCCTGGCCACCCGCCCCGGCCTCCCCACCACACCAATCAAGAAATATCAAGGGTGCATTTAGGCAATTAGAGGTGTCCTCACCAGCCTCTTCTCCCACGGAAGCCAATTATTCCCTGGAGTCCAAATGTAAACAAGAATAAACAGCTCTTAATTGGTGCTTTCAGTTTTTAATGGACTTCCTGATGTTAAGAGAGTGAGAGAGCAGTGGTTTACTTAATCACTGGGGCCCTTTGTACAGTTTTGCCTTGTATGCTGTGCTTTTTACCCAGCCCGGGGAGGGAGATGTTTGTGGGTACCAGGGTTTTGTTATTCCCTCTCCCCTTTTTTGGTATAAGTGGCATGCTGGCAATAGACAAATACCTTCATAAAAAGCTGCTTCTAAATGAAATAATTACTGTCTCTACTTGGGCATTATGATAATTATCAATAGAATATAGAATCAGCTTTGGTTTTTCAGAAAAAAATAATCCAAACAAACCTTCCTTAAACAAGGAAGGTTTTATTTCAGGTCTGCAATTAGAGTAAACAAGAACTGGGGACTTTTTCCTCTCGTTTTCTGTGTTAGGACTGCGAATGCTAGTCTGCTGTAGAAGGTTGTTAGTTACTTTCTGAAATGTGGGTGGTTTCTGGGGACTGGAGACAAGGACAGGAGGAAAGGGTCCGGGTTCTTTTTTTCCCCACCTGTGTATTTGACTTTCCTCAGCCTCCCTCCCTGTGCCGTGTGCCCCTTTTCCCATCTCTGTGCTTAAATGGCAGGGACCATAGGAGGTCATGTGTTTGGAGGTAACACTGCCTGAGTCTATGTGATACTCCGAAGCTTCCAGTTCCTTATTAAAATGGGATATTGAACAGTAAATTGTTACTGCCTCCCAGATTTCACAGCAAGAGGTGTTTTTACACCTTTCATTTGACTCACAGAGAGTGGATTATATGTAACCATCAGATGCCATATTTCAGTACTCTTTAGTCATGTGGAAAGTGCACCCATGGTCAGCATTTTGAGTTATTAGGATTCCTCAGATGAAAAAAAGGCAAACAATGTATTTTGATGGATTGAAATCCACATTGTTGTGCTGAAAATAGGGGAAGGAGAAAAAGGAAGCCAAGATCTTGGCGGAAAACTGAACGTTCTTAAGAATAACTCCTTTCTGACAACCCACCCCTCACCCCTGTAAAGGCTTCAGTGTTAGGCTTCTCGGGAGCTTCTGGAAAATTCCCTTAATTTGTTTCTCAGGGGTGTGGTGGCAGCTCAGGAGGCCTAAGATTTGAAATGTGTGTCCCTAACTGGGTTGGTGCTGAGTTTGGGACCAACTGGAAATACTGGCTCATTTATCACCTGTGATACACAGGGCTTTGCTTTTCTTTCTCTTCTGCCTCGACAGATAATGTTGAATTCTCTGCATAAATATGAACCCCAGGTTCATATAGTACGTGTTGGAAGTGCCCATCGAATGGTAATGAACTGCTCCTTCCCTGAAACCCAGTTCATAGCCGTGACTGCCTATCAGAATGAGGAGGTAAGAGCGTGTGTGTGTGTGTGTGTGTGTGTTACTGTCACCTGCGAGATAAGGGCAGGGCAGGATGGGAAAGGGGTCCTTTTAGATGAAAGGTGGGTTTTCCAGGATTTGGATACACTCAGCAGACATCAAGTTAAACAATGGAGTAGCTGCTCTCCCTCCCTCTTGCCTGTTTGCTAAAGGCTCACCAGCATGTGCTCGCCTGGTGCCAGCAAGGCACAGCTGTGCATTGTCATGAAACTCCTGAGTTCTGGTGAAACTCTGGAGTCTTTGTGGTCAGGCCCCTGCGTGCCCTTGGCCTGTGCAGAGCTGAGTATGTCTTGAGTGGGTACAATTGGGCAGGGGCTGTCAGGGACTACTCTCTCCTGCTCTAGAAGCAAGTCTGTAGCCAGTGATGCAAATGCGCACCCTCCCTTGGGTTTTATTATGCCGTCAGTTCTGCTTGTTAATGTTCAGTGTCTGAGCATAGTCTGCTGCTGCCCAGTGACCTGAGCTACCTGGCTGTGAGGCCTGAGTGGTTAGCGCTTGGCCTATCTGTGAGCTGCTTTGGGCCTGTTCACATGTCTTAGGGGTTCTCTGACCTGCTGATTATCAGAAGAACCCAGAGAGGGTTGAATTCTTTTTGACTAAACTTAAAATTTTTTTAAAGATAATGTGTATTTATTTAAAAACACATAATAGACAGTACACAAGTAAAGTAAAAATGAAAACTACAACGTAAAGCTATACTGGTTTCTTCTGCTTTTGGAATCTTACTCTCCATGGACACTATGAAGAATAACTGTGTTTTTCTGACAAATTTTCTGTGTACATGTAAATATATATGTGAATGTAGATTTCCTCACATAAATTGGCTCATGTTGTATATATTATTAATCTGCAAATTTCTTTTTCCCCAATTTAACAGTGCATTATGATTACCTTTCTATGTAATTATACCTAGGTTTATCTGTCTCCTTTTCTGTAGTGTTTACAGAATATTTCACTGTACGAATACACTATTTCATGTAATCAGACCCCCAACCCATGGACATTTAAGTTGTTTCCAACTGTTTTCTTTCTTTCTTTTGTTTTGAGATGGAGTTTCAGCCTTGTTGCCCAGGCTGGAGTGCAATGGTGTGATCTTGGCTCACTGCAACCTCAGTCTCCCAGGTGCAAGGATTCTCCTGCCTCAGCCTCCTGAGTAGCTAGGATTACAGGTGCCTGCCACCACGCCTGGCTAATTTTTTTTTTTTTTTTTTTTTCAGATGGAGTATCGCTCTGTCACCCAGGCTGGAGTGCAGTGGTGTGATCTTGGTTTACTGCAAACTCTGTCTCCTGGGTTCAAGCAATTCTCCTGCCTCAGTCTCCCAAGTAGCTGGGACTACAGGTGCCTGCCACCATGCCTGCTAATTTTTGTATTTTTAGTAGAGACGGGGTTTCACTATGTTGGCCAGGCCAGGCTGGTCGCGAACTCCTGACCTCAGGTGATCCACCCACCTTGGCCTCGCAAAGTGCTGGGATTACAGGCGTGAGCCACCACGCCTGGCCCTTTATTTTCCATTATAAATAATGCTGCAACGAATATCCTGGTGCACCTGTCATTTGCTTGCACGGGTGAATAACTAGAAACCGATAGACATGGCCAGATTGCCTCCCTCAAAACGGCATCTCTATTTATAGCCCCCATACCATGATCAACACTGTTATCAATCTTTGGCATCTTTGACAATCTGCTAGGTTAAAAAAAATAAGATATTGGCCAGACGACGTGACTTATGCCTGTAATCCCAGCACTTTGGGATGCCGGGGTGGGCAGATCATGAGGTCAGGAGTTCAAGACCAACTTGACCAACATGACGAAACCCCGTCTCTACTAAAAATACAAAAATTAGCTGATGTGGTGGTGAGTGCCTGTAATCCCAGCTACTCGGGAGGCTGCAGCAGGAGAATTGCTTAAACCCAGGAGGTGGAGGTTGCAGTGAGCTGAGATCACGCCACTGCACTCCAGCCTGGGTGACAGAGTGAGACTCCATCTTAGAGAGAGGGAGAAAAATATCTTGTTGCTTCCATCTGTATTTATTTGGAAGCTTTAAAGACAGATTTTGGGCTGCCACTCAGCCAAATGAGTCAGAATTTCCAAGGACGATGCCCAGAATCTGTAGATTTTAAAGTCTCCCAGAGGATTCTATTGATCATCCAGGTTTGGAAACTACTGTCTTAGTGTCTACAGGCTAAACGAAGTTGCAGATTTAACTTACATCACAGCTGTGCAGAGAAAATGTCATTTCTGTAAGTAAACTGGCCTCTTGGCAGAGCCCCTGCAGCCGGCCAATGGGAGCAGAAATGAACTAGCTGATCACCTATACGGCCCCTCAGCTGGTGGCCAGTCTTTAGATGATGAAGTCATTCCATTTTGCAGATAGCTCTCATTCCCAGCTTTTCTCCCTGGTCCGGAGTCTGGGTCTATGAGGGGAGGTATGGTCTTTGGAACTCTGGGAAGTGGGGCAGTGGGGGTTGCACGCAGAATTGGAAACCATGTCCTAATCTCCTCTGGTCTCCAGGCAAGGCCCCTGCCCACTGTGTGCTGGTGGCTTAGTTGGTGGTATGCGGAACTTGTCATCTGGCCGCTGACTTGGTAAATCCTCAGAAGCTTTTCCTGGCTGCAGTTGCTGGACACTTCTCTCTGAACCACGTGATTGGTCGTTTTGACCCATCCAGCAAGCTCCCAGCCTGACTGGGTCTTGAACATGCCTCATGGCAATCAAGCTCTGGAAAGCCTAGGCCCTGGGCCTCCCTCTGCCAACAAAGTTTCCCTGCCAAGTCCATGCAGATGCACCCTGAGTGGCGAGTGGGTGTGGGAGTGGGTGAAGGAAGCCAGTGTCTCCTTTGAGCCCCCTGCTAGCTTTATGTATGCTTCTTGACCTCTCCAGGTTTGAGCCAATAGAAAGACCAGGTTGTACCTATCTGACCCCAAACCTCTCCTTCCTTTTTATCCTGATTTCTTCTCACAAGTTCTGGACCAGAAGGAGATGGGCTCTGTATTAGTCATTTTCAACTGCTAGTAAAGACATACCCGAGAGTGAGAAATTTATAAAGAAAAAGAGGTTTAATGGACTCACAGTTCCACATGGCTGGGTAGGCCTCACAGTCATGGTGGAAGGCAGAAGACACATCTTACATGGTGGCAGGCAAAGAAAATGAGAGCCAAGCAAAAGGAGAAACCCCGCTTATAAAACCATCAGATCTTGTGATACTTGTTCAGTACCATGAGAACAGTACAGGGGAAACCGCCCTCATGATTCAGTTATCTCCCACCAGGTCCCTCCCACAACACAGGGGAATTGTGCGAGCTACAATTCAAGATGAGATTTGGGTGGGGACACAGCCAAACCAAATCTGGCTCTTATTTTCCTTTCCTTCTTCCATCAAGTCTCAGGTCTTCCTGACATAAATATTCTGTTAATCTTTATGTATTCAACAAATGTTTACTAGTCATTCCTGCATACTGGATATTGTTCTAGATGCCGGAAATACTGCAATGAATAAAACAGATGAATTCCCTGTCTTCAAGCCACTTACATCCCAGTGGGGACAGATGAAAAATATATTTCTCTGTCTCTCTCTCTTTTATCTCTACGATGATCACTATCTCTATGTCAGATGTCTCTGATGAGAAGTGAAGCAGGCTCAGTGTGAGGCGGAGAAAGAGTGACACTGAAGGGGCATGATAGTTTGCGTTTCGCATTGATGTGGCTCCATGTGTACGGGGTTATTTATGAATGAGGGACTCGACGCTAGATGGCCCTCTCCCAGAGGGGCCAGATCACACCTGTGCTGCTCTCCACTATGTTCCAAGTGACTAGAAAAGTCAGTGGCATGCAGTAGGGGCTCAAGGATCATTGAAAAAAATAAATGAGTAAAAAAATGAATGCCAGGCTTCAAACACCAGGGCTTTGCCCATTTCCAGTGCTTTGCCCTTTCTTTTCTTACTATACATGGCATTAGCATTTTCACCCCATGCAATGATAAAATGTCCTTTGCCGGAGACAGGGAGACGGCGCAGTGGTGATTAAGTGCACAAATAAGCAAAGATGCAAGGGGCCTCAGCCTCCCCAAGTGCTGGGATTACAGGCATAAGCCACCATGCCTGGCAGGAAAGGGAAGACAAAGAGAGGGAATTAACCCAGTTTTACAGAAGTCAAAGGCTTCTGTCTGCCCATGTGTATCCCACTTTTACTAACACTTCTTGTCTTTGTAAATGCAAGATAACAGCTCTCAAAATCAAGTACAATCCTTTTGCCAAAGCCTTCTTGGATGCCAAGGAAAGGTGAGTAGAGAAATTTTAGTAAAATCTTCTAATGAATGATTTATGCAATGCAAATGTGTAATTTATGATTATCTTGAAAGGAACTAGACTAGTAGCACTTACATTACCTTTGATAGAAATATGCTTTCAATATTCAATATTCAACAAAATCTACAAAATTCAAATTATAACTATTCCTTATAACAGGGATAATATTAATAGTATTATTATCCCTGTTATAAGGAATAACTGTTAATTATGTTTTTTTAAGCCCTGTTTTACTATAAATTCTTGAAAGTAGCACAAGCACATTAAAAAAACTATTTAGATTTATAATAATTCACTCTGCCTTTTTCCTAATTACTTCTGAGTAGCATGACTTTATTAAATTGCTCTTTTAAAATGACACTTAGGCTGGGCACGGTGGCTCACGCCTGCAACCTCAGCACTTTGGGAGGCCGAGGCGGGCAGATCACCAGAGGTCAGGAGTTCGAGGCTAGCCTGACCAACATAGAGAAACCCCATCTCTACTAAAAATACAAAAGTAGCCGGTTGTGGTGGCTCATGCCTGTAATCCCAGCTACTTGGGAGGCTGAGGCAGGAGAACTGCTTGAACTGGGAGGCAGAGGTTGCAGTGAGCCGAGATGGCACCATTACACTCTAGCCTGGGCAACAAGAGGGAAACTCAGTCTCAAAAAAACCCAAAAAACATAAAATACACACACACACA